AATACTAAAAATCACTAGTACATTAATTTCGTACCCAAATTCCAGGCTTAAAAAAAAACCGTCTCACATTCCTTACGTGATATGAGCTATTGACGGTAAAAAGCTTTTAAGTAGTAGTAGTTCTGAAAAATTAAATTCGGTCATCAAAAACTAGTTTTACAGGTAATAAAATGCCCTTTAACTTTCTTATACACGTCATTGAGTTACGTTCATTAGTTTAGAAGCTACACTTCGTCAAAGTTGAATAAAATGCAAAAAGGCTGGCATAAATGGCTTCTTTAAAAACACACGCATAAAAACCGAAATTAGTTTTATGTTGTTTTCTTGAAGGCTGAACCTTAACGGAGAATATGCGCCGTTGATCACGACAATCCGTTGGTAAATCGATTTTTTACACATTTTTATATGAATATACCCAAGTTCAGTACTCGGGAGCAGCGGCCGTTAAACATTATTTTAAATTTTCAGTGTTGGAAAAGGTAAGAATTTGGTGCAAGTTGTTATGCATAACGTCAGTTTCCTTGCTAAAAATATATGAAAATCATTTCCTCGTAACTGCAATCGCATACTTTTTAGCTTGCCCAGCACTAATAGCAAGGAAAAACGTTTTTTACACTTTAAAAAAAATTGGTACCATTGAAAAAATTTTAGGTGCCCTTTTCTTAATCAGGGAGATGTACCTTACCGGAAAACAAAGGTTTCCTTTAAGGCGTATTTCATCAATTTTTGTTTGTAAACTGGTGTTGTTCAGGCACACATTCCTGTTAAAGCCCCAAAGATTGGCTATATGGATTTTGTTAATCGAAAGGGATGGACATCGAAGGTCATACAAGCTGCGTCTGACAACAATGACTCGTAAGTAAATATTTTGATATTGGTTTTAAGTACAATATATTTATACATTTTTAATAAAATATATTTGTAAAATCAGAGAAGTAAGCACTTCCTGGAAACTGGAAGTGTCCACCACGCCACGGTCTTTAAGGAATCTGGAATTTATTAAGATCGCACCCGAAATATTCCGGACTTCCAAAAACTGCTGTGCAGCAAAGAGATTCCCTTTCTTATCCTGGGAGATCATGCATACCCATTACTGCCGTGAATTCTAATCACTGGACACCTTACTCCCGAGATAGAGTCCTTAAACTGCTACCTTAGGTGGGAAGAATAGTAGTGGACTGAAAGGACGCTGGAGATGCCTGGCCAAAAGAATAGACATTGGCCACAAATTTGTTCGGTTGTTGCTTTGGCTTGCGCCGCACTTTGTAACCTTGTGCGAATAAGAAAGGAGAAGTTTACGCCAAGCAACGAACTTGAAAGTAACCATCAACCATCAGACTGGCCGATGCCGACCGGTAGAGATCCCCTGAGTGTTGAGTGTAAAAAAGCATAGCCAACACCGAAACAAGAATAACACAATCTTGTAGAGTTCTGTGTGTTCTGTTTTTATTCTAGTTGAAAAAGTACATGCTTTAGATTTAACCTTATCTTAACAATAAGTTTACGTACCGCAGTCTTGTTTCCCAGTCTCTTTGAATCCCTATCAGAATAAATTAAAGCGGGAGATTTGTGCTTACAATTCACCATTCCATGTGACCGCATTTAGTTTACAACACAATCCCTCTAGCAAGTTACAACATCGATACAAAATACTGAAATACTGAGCGCTACATTTAAATTGCTATAGCATTGAGCGATACGTTAATCCGTTCCACGACAGTGGCATTGTAACCAAGCCATAGATTGTCCTGAGTGCGACTTCTCTGATCTAAGGGTGCTTCTTAAGGAATACATTGTATCTAACTTTCTATTGAGAACCAGTTCTAAATAAAAAAATATTTCTTTGGTACAAAAATTTTATTGAAATGATGTATAGAAACAAAATAGCGCATGAAACTTTGGGTCTCGGCCCGATCCTCCGACAGAACATCATGCATGGTCTGCACAAAGGAGGCATCAATTTCCCTTTGAGCCCCAGAAGTTCCGGTTCTGCATCTCCAGTCTGTCCAACGCCTCTTTGTTGTCGTCTGCCATCTCCTTCGGTATCTGCTCGACTTTTGCCTTGTCTGAAAACCAAGTGAAATCATCGAGCGGTTACCATACATTTTCACTTGGTCTCCAGATTTAAGCATTTTACGCATTAAGGCTGAATTTATAGTCAACTTTCGTGTGTTGTCGAAATCATGAGACGGTGTTTATAAACACAAGAATTAAATGAAAGCGGGAAATGCCCATCCAATAAACACAATATATTGGTTTAAGCGGCTTGTGGTTGTAACACTTTGCTAATTCCAACTTGCGCTGCGCAGAAATTTTTAGAATTCATGCTTAATGCAAACTTTGTAGTTTTTATAGTTTTCGAGATATTCGCGTTCATACATAGCATTTTGGCGTTAGACAGGCGTTAAAACTTTTATTCTAGCGTTAAAACAGCGTTCGGCAAAATCCCATTGAGCGGACATAAGGAATAGCTCTGCTCAGCCTCTGCCATCGTAGAACAGTAGTTTTAACATACAAACATAAAAGTTCAGCGCTAAAACCACATTTTCTAGGCATATTTTGGTTTCCTGTACACGCTGGTATCACTCAAACCTTTTTTTTTGAAGAATAGTTCTTGAGATTTTTTCGATATTAAAGAGCTAATATCTCCGAAACTATCTTTAAAACTCGAAGAAATCCGACAAGTTTCGATGCCAGCGCCATGGCCCTTAGCGCGAGCGGGGCTTTGTTTAGTCATAACTTTAAAAATAACAATGCAATTAGTACGATTGTCAGCATCTAGACAGGAATTGATCAATGTAATTAATTTAAATTTACATTTAAAAAAAATCTTGAAATATGTGGGCGCAAGACAGAGTTTAGCGTTTATGGGTTTTAGAGAGGGCGTTAGGTTAGGTTAGGTTAGAGCGGCTGCCAAATCATTGACACACTTAGTCCTTAAAAGGTCCATTGTGGTACCGCGTGGATCTGTATCCCCTTTCCTAAAAATCTGCTGCCTTTATTGCAGCTGGCTTAGCATAATTCCCATCCGCTTGCTTTAATGAATTTTATTATTCGTTTTAGGCTGATGTTCGCCAGTTCAGATAGACTGCTCATGAAGGGATTCCCTAAGTGGTACAGTCTAGATCTGCTCAGGGCCGGGCAGGAACAGAACAGGTGTTCCACCGTTTCCTCTTCCTCCTCGTCCCTGCAGCTAGAGAGGGCGTTACACTCCGCTGAAACAAACTTGCGCTGCTCAAGAGCCCCTAGACTTTATGCTTAAGCCCAACCTTCCCATTTTTTATAGTTTCTGAGATCACAGTGCTCATACGGACAGACGAACATGCTGATCAAATAAGTATATATGTGTTCTTGATCAGCATCACCACACATTGGCAAAAACACCGTGCTAAAATCAAGTACAAACAGACTTGATTTAAGAACGATTTCATGCTTACCATTTTAAAACCGTCCGTACTAAAAAAAAGTATTACATTAAACAAATTTTGGATTTAAATTTCTGTCAACTCTAAAAATTCCCAACTATTTGTTTTGAAAGTGCTCGGTATATAAGGCGCATAAAATACACCGTGTTAATGCCCGTGAGCGGCAATTTGTAAGTATACTTATAAAATTCATGTAATTTATTTTGTTTTTTTTTTCATTTTTATTTTCAAATACTTATTTCTTTTTCTAGCATATAATTAAAACCCAATTTAACATGTATAACACTTTATTACTTAATCGTACTACTTTTTAATAAAAATATGACTAGATTAAAAAATGTTGCTTACTTGATTGTAGACCGAAAGGTTCTAAAAACTTACTGAAACCGAATTCCATGTCTTAAATTTTTTTCAATGCTTAGCTATATTTTGACACTAAAAATACTTGATTTTCTCTAAATGTAGGCGAGTTGATTTAGCCATTTCCGTCTGTCCGTCCGTCTGTCCGTTTCTATGCGAACTAGGCTCCCAGTTTTAAAGCTATCGCGATGGAACCTCCCCAAAAGTCTGTTTTCTATTACAGGTAGTAGATATATAATTTGGAACAAGCCGAATCGGACAAATATAGGCTACAGCTATAGGAACTATATCCATATATACACCTGCAACTGAAAATAGACTTTTGGAAACCTTAAAACTGTGAGACTAGCTCGCGTTGGAACGGACGGACTGACTGACTTGGCTAGATCGACTCGTCTAGTCATGCTGATCAAGAACAACATATACTCGTACATAAAAAAAAATTGCATGCTTAACATTTAAGAACGTTCGTGCTCAACAAATTCTCATATTGAGCACTTTTTAGATTTTTAATGTCTGCCAACTCTAATAATTCCCAACTGTTTATTCTGAAAGTACTCGGTATATAAGGCGCATAAATTAGACAGTGTTAGTGCCCGTCAGCGGCAAGTCGTATGTAAACTTAAAATTTTAATATTATTTATATATATCTCGTTTATTTCGTTTCAGTTTTCAATACTTATTTCTCTTACTAGCATAAAATAAAAACTCATTTTATTTTCATAATATTTATATATTGATTTAAGAATTATTCGTCCTTAAATCATGCCTGCCACTTTCTTACTTTATTATTAAGTCGTTCTTGTTTTTAGTCCAAATATGACTTGATTTAAGAATTATTCATACTTGATTCAAGATCGAAAGGTTCTTAAATCTAGTATTTTTGGTCTTGAAAATTCGTACTCGAAAGTAGTATTTTGTTCTCGCGTTCTGTATTTTCCATGCTTGGCGAAGTTTTGAGACCGAAAATACTAGGTTCAAGCACAAAATACTTGATTTTTTTTCTGAGTGTATGTATTTTATGTCGAAAACGTCTCCTTCACTGCGTTGCAAACTTCTGACTGAAATTCGAAATTTAAAATCTAATGCTTGAAACAAAAAAAAGTGCCATCGAGAAAAATGTTACTGACATTTTCAGCACAATCAGAATTTACCGTCACAGGCTTAGGAGCGTTTCATGGATTTTAACTTGTTAGCAAGTGTTATCCCACTCACCTGTCCATTAGGTTGGGATTGCCTCCGCGTTTGCTCCAGAAGCTGCTCGAATGCGACTTGTTGGTGGAGTGGCAGCTCGAGGCGGGTGACGAGGAGTGCCGCAGGATGCCGCCTCCGGAGAACCGGAAGCTGCTGCGGGCAGGGGCTGCTCCCTTAGACCCACTTCCTCCAGCTCCTCCACTGCCATTGGCCACATTGCGGAAACTGGCCGGGCCAATGCTCCTGCTACTCGTCGTTCTCTGCTGCATCAAAGGTCGTTCTGCGGGCTCCACGCACCTTTTCCTGGCATCAGCTCGTTCCTCAACCCCTCGTCCTCCATTGTTAAAGTTGCGAATGCTGTCGCTCATTGACAAAAATTTGCTATTGCCTCTGGAGAAGCTGCTGTGCACCTGCAACTGTTGCTGGCTGTGCTGAGGTCTTATGGTAAAGCGCCCACCTAGCCTGAAAAATATATATGTGTATATAATAAAGGACTAAAGGGTACACTCAAAATTTTTTCATAAAATAACCAAATCAACCGTTTTGAGAAACCCGATTTTCCTATCCGCATTGGGAATGTCTTACCCAAAAAATAATTACCATGAAACAAAAACACCCCTTGATTTTTCATTTTTGTGACAGACAATGGATACATTCGGTTTAATTAGTACACTTTTTAAAATTTTTTCAAACATTTCACCTATTTATTTTTTTTTTACGGCTTGACAGTGATTTTAATTTTTCCATAACTTTTATTCAAAGTCCCTAATTTTTATTCAACTAGTAACGGATCTTTGCCATGATAATATTTTATTCGACTCTACGGTAGAGAATTTTGTAAGATTTTTGAGTTCATTTCATTTTATAAGAAATCTGACCATATCATATTGCTTTTATACGAAAGTAAGATGGGATTTTGTTCTTATTATCAGTACCCCTCTACATGCCAACAATTGTTCAATTTGGACCATACATTAAAACGTTATAAGCAACTAACGGAATAGACGCTAGGTGGTTTGTTGGTGTGGTGTTTAGAATCAAGGCACTCGACGACTTAAGCTGACATTTCTCAGTGCAGAGATGTGGTAGAGAAAACGTGATGGCTGGACAAACTGGCGGTTGATTATGTTAAGGATAATTTGCCACGCTTAGTCGGGCTTCGATTGACCTTAGGCAACCAATCAGTACCGGAAATGTCCGTAATGTCTGTGAGCCGGCCAACCAAAGAATGACTTTTTAAAGATGAAAAAGAGAAAACTCTTAATTAAAAATTGTTAATTAGTTTTCTATCCAAGGTCATTCCAATAAGCTTTCATTATCGACTTTTTCTCATCTAATATAAAACGTTAGGTAAATTAATAAAATATGTATGTACAATGTACATTGTTCATGGAACATTGTACACCCAGAAAAAGGATGAACAAAATTGTAGGTCTTTCTTAACCTAAAAAATTAAAAATATATGAAAAGTTAAAATTAAAAATACAATTTTTGCACACACACACATACAATTTTGGACTACTTTTGAGATTAGGAATAGCCAAATATTTTACGTCATAGTAGGCCTTAAATGGCATCTTACCTAGATATATTTGACAACTAAAAACCTTTTAAACTATATATGTCTGTTAGATATTAATGTTGAACCTAGTCAAACAATAATTGCATTGCTTATAATTATTTAGTGCACTGTTTTAAGAAAATCAATGTTTTAATGTTATAAAGTGAGCTGAAAAGGTCATGCTATCGTCGCACAGAACATGTGCATTTTGAATATAATGAAGTTGTAAAATATTGCATTTAAATCTTGAGGAAGTTAGAAATTGGCATGAACTTACACGCTCCTGCGTTACATAGTGCGGAATTTGTAAGGCGCTTGCCTCTGATACGAGGAGAGTTTTTAAGAAACATATTAAATATTTCCTTAATAACTTGAAATATAATATTGAATTAAAAAATATATCAGACGTATTTAGTCCGCATCAGATTCTCGCGCGGAAGACCGGGGATCGATTCCCACCGCGGGCAAAATTAAAATGTTACTTTTTTTGGAAGATAAAATATTACCTTATATGAATTCACTATAATAAACAAATATAATAACATTATAAGTAAGCATTAAACATTATTTGAAAATACCAAATTATTAGAACCTATATCTGACCAATTTTGCAATAATATGGCTCAGCTGTGGATTTGTTTTTTCAATCGGGTTTCGTCAACCTCTACAGCTTACTTTGTAATATTAAAACATAATTTTCTTAAAATAGTAATTGTAAGCAATTGTTATATTATTTGGTTATGTCCAACATCAACATTTTACATACATATTTAGTTAAATAGGTTTGTAGCTGTCAAATATTTTTGAGTAAAATACAAAAATTTAAGGCACACAATGACCCTAAATATTAGGCCATTCGTGACCTAAAAAGTAGGGCAAAAATACAATATTTTAATTTTTGGGTAATGCACGACCTAAAAATTAACTTTTAGTCCTTTTTTATTTATTTTTTAGGACAAGTATGATTTTATTCATAATTTTTCTGGATCGCTTTCTACTACTTGCGTAAAAACATTTAACCTTTTCAAATCTTGATTAAAATCTATCCTTCACAGGGTTCTGTTCTTGCTTACTGTAAACAAGAAAGGAAGTTAACTTCGGCAAGCCGAAGTTTGTATACCCTTGCAGTTATAGTTATTAAAATTAAAAATACATAAAATGATATTCCCAATAGTATAAGATAAAATGTCAAAAAACACCGAAGCTATAATTTGTTTCATAAAATTTTCCCACCATTTTTCCGATCGTTCCTATGACAGCTATATGATATAGTCGTTCGATTTTGATCAAATTAAATTCGAAATTTAGAACTAGTTAAAAAATGTTATTCCAAGCGTAGGAGGTTATATGTTAAAAAACACCAAAGCAATAATTTGTTTGATATTATTTTCCCACCAATTTTCCGATTGTTCCTATGGCAACTATATGATATAGTTTTCCGATTTTGATAAAATTTAATTTGAAATTCAAAACTAATTAAAAAATGTTATTTCCAAGCTTAGGAGGTTATATGATGAAAAACACCAAAGATATTAGTTTTTTAATAATTTTTTTCCGATTATTCTTATGGGAGCTATAAGATATACTCGTATACTACCTGCACAAGAATTAAGACTTTTGGGAAAGTTTCAGCCCGATAGCTTTAAAATTGAGATACTAGTTTGCGTAGAAACGGACAGACAGACGGACAAGGCTAGATCGACTCGTCTAGTCATACTGTTCAAGAATATATATATTTTATGGGGTCGGTAATGTCTCCTTCACTGCGTTGCAAACTTCTGACTGAAATCAATATATCCTCTGCAGGGGTATAAAAATACGTCAAGGAATCGTATATACTTTTAGAAAATAAAACAAATCGAACTGAAATCATTCTTTTAGACTTAAAATATGCTATTGAGTGCTCATCTATGGCTAAATAAAATTCACTTTTTTCTTCGTAACCGGCCATGTAGTAAATAATAAGTTGTAAATACAACTGCTTTTAATTTTTGTAAATCGTGTCTTTCGTTTGCCAGACATAATAGTTCTAGTGTAAACTTCCTTTACGTTGATATTGCTTTAATCTCAAAACGGTGCTGTGCACCTTAAAAAAAAACGGGGGTGGCCGGGTTGGTATGAAACGTCCAATATATGTCCTAAAAATAAGGTAGTTTATGACCTAAACATTAAAAAATGTTAACTTACTCATAGTATTACAACTTATTTATTTTAATTGTTTATTATAGTGAATTTGGCTAAGTGAATATTTTATCTTTCTGAAAAACAATCATTATACCCGTTACTCGTAGAGTAAAAGGGTATACTAGATTCGTCGGAAAGTATGTAACGCATCGCAAGTTTGTTTCAGCAATGTGCCACGCCCACTCTAACGCCCACAAGCCGCCCAAGCCTGTGGCGCCAACAATTTTCATGCTAGATAAAAAATTTTAGCTGAAGTGTATTGGTCTCGTCAATACCTGTCGATTGATTCAAAAAAAAATTTGCCACGCCCACTCGAACGCCTATAACGCTTAATTCTGTATACCGCCGGTAGGTGGCGCATTTTAATCTCGCTTTGCTGCTTGCATATCTCTATTTAGCTGAGTAACGGGTATCTGATAGTCGAGGTACTAGACTATAGCGTTCTTCCTTGTTTTTTTTGGACATATGGACTTATTTTAAAGCACTCATTGGAATTTAAATTTTGTCTACTATTAACCTTAAAAGTAGGGTAAGCCATTACCTAAAACTACAATTTACAATTTACATTTATTACAAATTTTTAAGTACTATTTTTTTCTGGGTTTATCCACACCATCAAGAGTTTTGAATAAATAAGAGGCAAATGAATTTGTATAGTATACTATACCTACTATATAAAGGTTATCGAACAAAATGGAAATTATATATTTGATTAAAGTTCATTCTAAGTTTGATTAAAAATATATTTACTTTCTTTTAAAAAATCCGCAATTACTTTTTGGGCAACCCAATATTACATACTCTTACCTGCGGAAGAGTTCACTTTCCGGATGCTCTGCGGCAAAACGTGCTTTCTTGCGGAGGAGGGGAATGGTGAGTGCGTAAGTAGTGACCATCATGAGCATGGGGATATAAAATGCCACCAGAGATCCAAAAACGAAGAAGGCGCGGTTGTTTATTACACAGACGTTGTGCTCAGGCATAATGTTCTTCTCGTTGACCAGACCTGAGTACACGAGATAGTGATGTAAAAACAACTTTCATTTTACAAACTTTTTTTATTATACCCAGGACTGTTATCGAGCTGGATACAATCATGGCCATTACCCAAACAATGGCTATCTTAATACCAGCCAATCGTTTCGTAGACCGATGTCTCGAGCCCAATGGATTCCGTATTCCCAGATAGCGTCCCAAACTTATGAAGCACATATGCAGGATGCTGGAGGAACAGGCCAGCACATCACAGGTCACATAAATGTTGCACCAAGTAAAGCCAAGTGGCCAATAACCTGAAACACATATGTAAGTTTTGTGGATGATTAATGAAACCGAATTTAAATCTTAATATTAATATTTTAAATAGCCCTTGACACAACAATAAGTAACTAACAATAAGTATGCGACTTTAAGGATCCATATATTTATTTGAAAAAGCTATATGATTGTGTTGTTCATTTGTATACCCTTTACTCCTAGAGTAAAAGTAATGGGTCTCTGACTAGAAAGTTCCAAGAAAAACGACACTAAGGGCAAATGAATGCTGACCATTCTTATCTTGATTGGTTAATATTTTAAAGACAGATAAAATATTTCTCTTTTTTAGTCATAGCAAGGGAGAACGCCACAGAGTATGCGTGGCACTCGGATAAGGAACATGGGCTTAGTAGGCACTAGTAGAATCTTAATGTCAAATTTGAACCCTATGGAATAATTGAATAATTTTTGACGTGTAGATTGGTATTGATAAGCGAAACAAAATGTCAAATACACTATTTCAAAGTCTTTACAACTGTGGACGCTATCCAAGCTTAACGTTGTGGGCTCATTCAGATAATAAACTAATCAGAAGCTAAGGCTCTAAATATGAAATTCCAACTCTCTAGCTAAGATAGGTCTAGAACTAGATCGACATGGCCTGATCGACTCGGCTAGTGATCCTGATCAAGAATATAAATACTTTATAGGGTCGAAGACTTATCTCTATCACTCATTAAATAAATGATTTTAATACATTTTATTAAACATTTTTAAAATCCATAAAAAAAATCCTAAAAAAAATAAAACAAATGTAAAGCCAACAAAATTTTTGAAGCCGCCATTAAACTGTTGGTGTTTTTGCTCTGTGTCGATCTAATTCGGATTTATTTCGCTTTGTGTGGTAAGTGCCTATCACTCGACTGACCCATTCACCTTGACATCAATTGACGGCTTCCATTCAAATGGGCTGAAGCTCTTAATGGGAACACCACTACAGAAACTCAATTGCTGCCCTGCCGGGAGTCGAATTCAGTATTAATTAGTACAAATTGCGCTTAAATGTGTTGGGTGTTGGATGTTCGGCCCTCTGGTTTGGGGGTGTTAACCTTTTACATGCTCCTTGGCCAGAGCCCCACATATGAGGGTCCTTTTCGACAAACAATGGCAGACAACCCGGAGTTGGGGCACTGACACTGGGGGTAAATATCATGTCGTATTTACTTTTATGGGCTTGTCACTGTCACACACAGACGAACAATTTGCGAGGAAGTTGTCAGTGTACGGTGCTCCCATAGAGTGATGGAACAGATCAAGTGGCGGACGCACACGCAAATACAGTTTTGGTCAAAATAGTTGCTTAAGAATACTAAAAACCAGCTTAAGATTTATTAGAGCGTACATTCCTAGGCCCCTTTTTCAGTCCTCATGTTAATCTGTAAGAATGTTTTGACATTCAACATTTTTCTAGGTCTAAATTTTACTCTACTTTACTTGATTCTCGTAGTATTTCACACATTATTGAACATAATCGTCTAAAATTTACCGACGTGTAATTTGTAACCATCACGGGTATGACCTCAACACATGGCTCGATTCATAATATAGTTCCTGTCAAAAATTCAAGTCTGACTGTGCGTTAATCTCTGAAGTATCCATTAAAAATTCATATGATGTGTTAAGTCAATATTATTTGATAATATTTGTTTGATTTCTATCTTAATTATGTACATTACTGCAGACTTTTCATACACGATACTCGTAGAGGAAAAGAGTATATTAGATCGTCGGAAGCATTTTCGACCCCATAAAGTATATATATTCTTGATCAGGATCACTAACCGATTCGATCTAGCCATGTCCGTCTGTCCGTTCATTAAAAAGTTATAACCAAACAATAATTATACCCGTTACTCTTAGAGTAAAAGATTAGTCGGAAAGTATGTAACAGGCAGATGGAAGCGTTTCCGACCCCATAAAGTATATATATTCTTGATCGGGATCACTAGCCGAGTCGATCTAGCCATGTCCGTCTGTCCGTCTGTCCGTATGAACGCTGAGATTTCGGAAACTATAAGAGCTATTGAGATTTGGCGTGCAGATTCCTGAGCTTCTTACGCAGCGCAAGTTTGTTTCAGCATAGTGCCACGCCCACTCTAACGCCCACAAACCGCCCAAAACTGTGGCTCCTACAGTTTTGATGCTGGAATAAAAATTTTAACTGAAATGTATTGTTCTCATCAATACCTATCGATTGACCTAAAAAAAAGTTTGCCACGCCCACTTTAACGCGTTAGAGTGGGCGTGGCACGCTGCTGAAACAAACAAGCGCTGCGTAAGAAGCTCAGGAATCTGCATGACAAATCCCAATAGCCTAGCTCTTATAGTTTCCGAGATCTCTGCGTTCATCCGGACGGACAGACAGGTGGACATGGCTAGATCGACTCGGTTAGTGACCCTGATCAAGAATATATATACTTTATGGGGACGGAAACGCGTTCCTACGGACCGAACGCTGAGATCTCGAAAACTACAGGAGCTGGAGTGTTGGGACTACATGCGCTATGTGGCTCTATAGAAAAAGAAGATAGGTGGCGCTAAAGGCTAGGTGTGTTAGTGAAAAAAGCAGTTTTGCTTTAAGCATATCTCCATCCCTCTCGCACTCCCTTTAGCTGAGTAAGGGGTATCTAATAGTCAAGGCCATCGACTATAGCGTTTTCTCTTGTTTGTCTTCCTTTCTATCATTTTTTCCACTTCTAGAAGTCATTTGAAAGACAGTTTTTTTCACAATAACTTTGTTTTTGTACAAATTTTTCTATCGTCGTTTTAGCGCCCAGAAATGCATCAGAAGATTGTTAGCTTTCCCGACCGTTTATGATTTTGTAAAATGTGTATTATCGTCTTTCCATCACACAGAAGTGTCTCAGAAGTTACATTTTCGCGATCCCGACCCTTTTTGGTTCTGTAAAATGTGTTGTATAACCTTTCTATCGTCCAGAAGTGATTTGTAAAATGTGTTCTGTCGTGTTTCTACTAGGCTCTTTCCTTGGCTTTTGAACAACATTTTAAGAGATCCTGGAGCCAATTCTAGATCCAGCACATATAAATCACCCAATACTGTCGTGTACGTACAAAACAAAAATTCGGGCGTTTATGCACAGGGCAACACGAATAATATTGGCCGCGGCAATCGGAAGGGAAAAACCAGTATGCAAACATCAACCGGGGAATCAAATCAGGTGTTTTCACACACGGCATCACCATCGGATCTGAACACATTACCCGACAATCCGGTACTAAGATCCTTGAAAACCCAGGCAACGGTTCCATTCCGACCAGCAACGCGAATAACGTGGGTCAGGGCAACCCGGAAGGCCAACTCATCTTTAAACAGGGCAGTACAACGGGAAACACCCTTATGTACGCAAACCCGGGCTACATGGGCAACTGCAATAAAGGAAGTTATAACACCTTTGGAAACTATAACCAGGGCAACAATATAAATACAAATACAAGCCCGTACGGTTAGGAAAATAGCGTTGCTCCCAGGTATAGCACTGGATGTACATAGCTTACCATGAACCCGGCCACGTCTCCATTCCGGACAACAGCGTAAACAACATGGTTAGAGCTAACCCGGTAAAACATATCATGCCTGTTAGTATGAACCCAGGAAATGGTTCCTGCCGCACTAATAACCCAATGAAACATATTCTGCCGGGAAAAATATCTGGCAACACAAACCACCAGTTCGGTCAGGGAAACATTGCAGCACCTGGACACGGCAATGGAGCGAACACCCTGGTAGCTACGAACACGGAAATCAACTTCGATCCCAACCAGCGCTTTTCCAAGGCCAAAAATAGCCAGGGCATACCGGTGACCAAAGAAAGACAGCACAAATTATTCGGATGAGGACGAATCCCTTGGCACAGTCAAAAATATAACATACCTGCATATTACTCATACTTATAACTGATATACTCTTACGCCCTCCATAAATAGCTCAAATACTGTTATACTTATAGTTGTAAGACATACATAAATAAATAAAAAATATAATAAGAATTAAAATCATTACCACTAACTGTGTCTTTTAGTAATGTAAAATTCATTTTTTAAGAACTCCTAGGCGTTTTAGTTATCTATTACTCTATTTATGCGATGGTCATTTCGCGCTTTCATTTCATGAAATGGACTGATTCGTGTTGACATAAGCCCCATTTCATGAATTCGACAACACTCGAAAGTTGACAATGAATTCAACCTCAAAGTGTGATATTCGGGGGTGTCACAGAAATCCCTTCCAACCCAATTTCTCCCGAAAAGCCAATCTCGGTGTCACAGACGTCATTTTTGACGGTTTCTAATCCCCTGTATTTTGACAAACGTTTTGATTGAATAAACCAACTTACAAATGCTTGCCAAGAACAAAACTTTATTAAAGGCAACACCAGTGAAAACTATAAACTATCTGCATACGACAATTTTTTTGGGTACAAATATCAGCAGCGAAAATGTTTAGTTTTATCTCGCAATCCCTTGTGCTGAATATCGGGTATCTAATATTTCCTTTTATCTTGTTTTAGAATAAAGAATCTATGGCGTAGTGGTGGTAAAATTTTTTTCGCAACTGTATATTTCTTTAATCAAAGCTATCAGAGGCGGCGTTTACCCGTTTAGACGGGACGGCTAAAGAAATCTTCCTCCAATTATTTGGTCCGGTAGTAACTTAACGCACAAAAACGAAAATAAACTAAGCTATTCGCCACAATATTTCATTGAGATTCATTGAGATGTTCAGCAAACATATGCACACTAATATAATACAATGGTTTTTAGTTTATTATACCTATTTCTCTATTGGGTAAAAACCAAAGTTGCCAAAATATGCTCAAGCATTTTTTTCAGCCCGTCAGAACAGCTTACGTTTAGTAAGTGATCAATCAA